CTGGTCTCAGATAACTTGCTAGCTATGTGACCTGGGCAAGTCACTTAACCTAATTTGCCTCAGTTTTCTCATCTATAAAATAAGCTGGAGAAATGAACTAGCCCAGGTTAGAAACAGCAGATAAAACGTTCCAACACCATGAGCAGTGGGATGCAGTCTGTAAGAAGCTACTACACTTTCAGCCTGGGCTGGATAAAGAGATATAGTCTCAAAAGGCACACAGACATACATAGACGCTCACATACACAGACACTTTGGGGAAGTATCTATTCTGAGCTTCTATTACTTAATAGCATAAAGCACCAAGAAATTCCCAAGAATATGAGGGAAGGAATTTACCTAAAACTGCTTTTACCTTCTTCTAGAGAATTTCACCAAAGAACTAATAAGATTGAAAACAGCTGAGCAAAGGATGCTTCTTATAGTTCTCTTGACTCCCTCATAGTGCCTAGAGGGGTAGCTAATTATTCAACCAACACCACTCTATAATATTATGGTTGTTTTTACTCTGGCCCAATCCACTGTATGGTTTTCTCCTATATTTCTTAATTATTTGTCACAAATCCTGCCAAGTTACAAGTACTTTCCCAATATTTGGTTTTAAATTCTAAGCTCGATTCCAATTAGTACAAATAATGAATGCTATCAAGTGGTCACATTATCTGAAAATGCGCACAGCATATTTCCATTGGGATAGAACCAATTACTATATTTTATATAATTATAACTTCAAATGGTATGAATTCAAATATATACAACCACTCCACAGGATTTATCAATCTTGCTAATTTGAATCTGAGAGTAAATAATTTTGCCCATTGTTATTTCATAATACTGTGAAAATATAAACATTTTATATTACTAGCTCTGACAGTCATGAACACCATACCATCCAAAAGTTGTAGTTGGTATTTGCTGAATTAGGAGTGATGAGATTTTTTTTTAAGTTACAATGATCAAATATTATAAAATGCCCATTATGCTTAAGACAATATTTCATATTGGTCATGTACCATACCTTACTCAATTAAGATGATGGATAACATATAAAAGGGCCTTGAGAGTTTATGGAGCACTTTAAATCTATTATCATATTTGAATCTCACAACAACACTGTGAAGAAGTACAAGTATTACTAAACCCACTTTACTGATGAGGGAATTAAGACTCTGAGAGGTGAAGAGAAGCATGCATTTGGTAAATGCCTAGTAAAGGTCTCCTAACTCCAACTCCAGTGTTCTAAGGATATTTCAAATAAACTACATTTCTGTACGTTATTATTAGACATATAATTTTCCTTTACATTTAAAAGAGGATGGTCAATCTGGATGAGCAAATATTATTTCCCTCATAGCTATTAAAAAGGACAAAATAGGAGTCCCAATTTCAAAAACTATTGCTCAAATGTAGAAACTCCTAATATCTACTCTGACACAAGTCTTTCACACATAAGTTGTTAAAAACATCTATTTATATTCCCTAAATGTGGAACTACAATTACAAACACCAAAAGCACTTTAAAATTATCTTTTTTAAATATACGGTATCTTTTCAGTTATCACAGGGAGAAAACATGCAAACAACTAGGTACATAAAAGAGACACAGAGTAGATGCAGGCAATTTCAGAGGGAAGGCACTAGCAGTGAGAAGGACCAGAGAAGGCCTCTACAAAAGGTATGATTCAAGCTGAGTCTTGAAAGCCATGGAAGTTAGGAGGTAGATGTGAGGAGGGGGAAGCATAGAGGATCACCAGGGAAATGGCACCAAGTTGGGAGGAATAGCAAGATGTCTATGCTGATAGATCAAAGAATGTGTGGAGGGAAGGAAAGTCTAAGTAGACTGGAAATAGAGGAAAGGGAAAGGTTATGAAGGGTTCTGAATATTAAACTGAGGATTTTATATTTGATCCTGGAGGTAACCGGAAGCTATTGGAATTAATTGAATTGGGGGAGGGGTTAACACAATCAGATCCGCACTTTAGGAAAATCATTAGGATTCGAGTAGGGAGAAATTTGAGACAGAGAGACCAACCAGAAGGGCTTTGATAGATGGAATGAACTTTTCTTTTCTCTCTCTTTTCTCTAACAAGGAAAATGATCTTTGGCCAAGAAAGGCTTAAACAAAAATGATTAATAGGTTGAAACAGAAGAAAAGTAAAGAGAGGTAAGGATATGTAATTTCCTTCAATAAATTCAAATCACAAAAGCCAGATGACCTATCTCTCAGAGAACTGAAAGAACTATCAGATGTGATTAGTGAGCTACTGTCAATAATAATCTCTGAAAAACTATGGAGAATAAAAGTAGTGCTAAAGGACTGGATAGACAAATGTCATCTCAATTTTTTCTGAAAGGGATCAGAATAATGTCAGAAATGGAGTCTTTAAATTGCAAACCATTAATCTTGAGTGGTGAAATTTTAGACTATGTTGCTAAAGGGAGGCGTTTATCATCATTTAGAAAAGGAAGCAGTAGTCACTAAGGGGACAGCTAGATAACGCAGCAGATAGAATGGGCATGGAAAAAGGAAGACTCATCTTTCTGAGTTCAAATCTGGCTTCAGACATGTACTTGCTGTGTGACCCTAGGCAAGTCACTTAACCCTTTTTGCCTCAGTTTCTTCATCTGTAAAATGAGCTGGAGAAGGATATGGCAAACCAGTCCAGTATCTTTGCCAAGCAAACCCCAAATGGGGCCATGAAGAGTCGGACACAACTGAAATATGACTGAACAACAACAAAAATCACTAAGAGGAAGCATGGCTTCATCAAGAACAAGCCATCTCAAATAACCTAATATTCTTTGTTCACAGGACTACTAGACTGGTAGATCAATGCCACAAATATGATATATCTAAATTTCAAAAACATATGATAAAGTCTTCCATGTTATCCCTGTATAAATAAAGAAAAGAAACAATACGGTTAGGTATGACCAAACTCCAAGAGTGGTCATTAATGGATCTATGTCAATCTAGAGGAGGTCTTCTTTGATTTGAACACCCTCTTATCTGTCCTTGACCCTGTGCTGTTCAACACTTTTAATCAATAACTCTGACTCAGTCATTGATGGAATACTTATCAAACTGCAGATAACACAAAACTGGAAGGAATAACTAACACAATGATGAATGACAGAATTGAAAGCAACAAGCTAGAATTCAACAATGTGACATGACAGTCAAGAAAGTGAATGTGACCTTAAATTACATGGAAAAAGAGAGGCACAGGGTTCAGAAGGAAGGGGATAATAATCCCATGGTACTCTTCTCTGTTCGTACCCCAACTGAAATACTGTGTTCAGTTCTAGATTCCATGCTTTTGAAAGGCCATTAAGAAACAGAAGTAAGCTCAGCAGGGAGCAGCCAGGATGCTGAGAGGTCTACAGACCATGCCATATGAGGACTGACGGAAGGAACTAGGGACTTTTAGTGGGTGGAAGAGAATACTAAGCTTAAGAGGACATGATACTTATCTTCAAATATCTTAAGGTCTAGCATATGAAAAAGGAATTGGACTTGTTCTAACTCATTTCCAAGGAGACGGAGGAAAGAGCAATGGTTAGAAACTAAGGAGAAGCAGATTTTACCTCAATGTTTTAGCTCAAAATTTTAGCTCAAAACTTCCTAACAGTTATCTCTCTCATCTATCCAGAAATGAAATGGGATATCTCAGGAGGTAGTGGGCTCCCCATCACAGGTGGTGTTCAAGCTGAGGCTAAATGACCGCTTCCCAGGGACAGTGTACAAGAGATTTCTGCTCAGGTTACGGTTGGACTAAATGACCTCTGAAATTGAGAAGGCAAGAGTCAAAGGGTATAGTGAGGGAAGGGAAGGTTCCAGACACTGTGCTAAGAACTCTACAAATCTTATCTCATTTGATCCTCACAATAATCCTGAAGGCAAGTGCTATTGTTTTCCCCATTTTACAGATTAGGAAACTAAAGAAGGCTGAGGTTAAGTGACTTGACCACAGTCACTAGGAAGGCCCAGCAAGTAAGTGAGGCCAGAATTAAACTCAGGTCTTCCTGACTGCGTATCCAGCACTGTGCCATCTAACTAGCTGCTTGGAGGCACAAAAGTCACAGGGATCCCAAACTTCAAGTTGGAAGACACCTAGTGGTCAGATAGCCCAACTCCCTCTTTTTACGGCTGAGGAAATTGAGGCCTAGAGAAGCAAACTGATTGCCCAGAATTACATAAGTTGTAAGTCAAGATTCTCTGATTCCAAATTAAGTGCTCTTTCCTTTACACTAAGGACCTGGACATAAAGCTTGGCTACCATACTCACTAACTGTACATATAACCTGTCTGGGCCTCAGTTTCCTCTTCTAAAAAAATTAGAAAATTAGAATATATGATCCTAAAGGTCCCTTCCAGGTCTAAATCCGGGGACTGTATTATACCTTCCAACTCTGATATTATGAGTTTGGGAATAGTTACAGTTTGGCTAAATAAGGTTTATGGTTCTATCTCTCTCCGTGCCTAGCATACTACTACAGAGCTCACAATAGATAGTTAATTAACGTTGGTGGAATTGAATTGCTGAATATTGATTTTTAGACAATTGATTTTTTTAAGTTAACAAAGCTATATTAGTACAAGATTGTCATCAGCCAACCAGTATCAATAAACAAAAGCCATAATAAGATCTCAAACTATAGCCATATGTTCTCAATTCCTTAATCGCTATATGTTTAATAAATCATCTAAGTAGAGATTATTTAGTCCTCACTGCACTGATCTCCAGAATTATTTAAAAAATGATAAAATACAAATGGAAGATATAATGATAATCTGACCAGATTTATGCAATGTAATCAGTTAAAAGTGAAACACCTCAAATTTTCTAGCTGTTTTTTACTTCATTAGTCTTTGTTTCTGTTCCTTTTCATAAATGAAAAGATTGCCATCATGTAGATGATGATTGGAGAGATTTTCCCCCTCCAAATACATTTAAATTCTTGGACATGTCTCTAAGAAAGGTCAAAATTGTACTTACATTCACTCGTGCTTGAATAGACCAATCACCAAGTATTGGATTTGAAGATAACTGAAATGTTTTGGAAATAACTCCAAGGTCACCTTGTTCATCTGACCACTGTTGGATCAAATTTGATTTGGGGTCCTATAATAAAAAAAATTGACACGTCAATCATTTTAAAGATGACAAAGCCACTTCTGGGAAGAGGGAGAAGAAATATAATTGCACCTTCTCCTATTGTAAATGGGGAAAGAACAAACATTTATTAAGCACCTACTACTTCCAGGCACTGTACTAAGCACTTTACAAATATTATCTCATTTGATCCTCATAATAATTCTGGGAGGGTAGGTCCCATTATTTACTCATTTTGCAGTTGAGGAAACTGAGGTAGGGAGAGGTTAAGTGACTTTCCTGAGGTCACACAGCTAGTAAGTGGCTGAGGCTAAATTTGAATTCATGTCTTCCTAACTCAATGCCCAGTACTCTATATGCTGCATCACCTCACTATTTAGTGATGGCTAGTGACATTGCAGGGTAGTTAAGGGGTAGCACTGGGCTTGGCATCAGGAAGACTCCTCTTTGCGAGTTCAAATTCAGCCTCAGACACTTACTAGCTGAGAGATCCTTGGCGAGTCATTTAACTTTGTTTGCCTCAGTTCTTCATCTGTAAAATCAGCTGGAGAGGAAACTGCAAACCACTCCTATATCTTTGCCAAGAAAACCCCAAAACTGGGTCACAGAGAATCAGACACAACTGAAACAACTGAACAAGTGACATTCCACAGCACTCTCAGAACTTCACCATACACTAAACGACCAGCAAATTGCCTCCAAAGAATGGCAGAAAGTCACATTGTCATGTCTTGAAAGAAAATCTCTCTCCCTTCTCCTTTCTGTTGTCTCACCTCCAGCTGTGTCTAGACAACCACATCTCACCTTTCTCATCACCTCTTGATTCATAGCTTTCGGCTACCTCCTTGTCCAACGTTTCCTTCAATATTCTTAAACTGTGTACTACAGAATCATTTACCAAGATGGGCACATAAGAAATACTTCTAACATTCCTACCCTACTTTGGCTGCAAAGCTCAATATGGAAATAATGATAGTCACATTAAACTTCCAAAGGTGCTATGGAATATTGCCACAAATTCAGAGGGTTGCTAACTCTGAAACAACAACAGAAACAATAGTAGTGATAGTCTGGAAGACCTACATTTGCTTTCCACTTTGTATTAATCATAAGAAGTGTTCCAGAAGGTCAGCAGATGTCTCCCTATCTTATAAATGGAAAACTTGAAAGATGTCACAGGAAATTGCAATGAAAGCTAGGCAAGATCACAAGATTCCAGCCTCACAGTCAAAAACCCTGCAGACTAATGAAGGTGCCTCTATAATGGTGAGCTTTCTACGACAAGCACAGGCTGCACTGAGGGAATTTGGATTAGACAACTTTTGAGGCTATATATTAGACAACTTTCCAACTATATAAGATTCTGATTCTCACCTTCTACAAGAAGCCCTTCCTCACCCTCCCTTAATCTAATACTTTTCCCCTAGGATTATCATGTCTATACAAGGGCACTCTCAAGGTCTCTGAAGAACTTTGGAACCAATTGTGAGACATGGGAGACATTGGCACAGGACCACCCAGCTGAGCATGCCCACATCAAAGAAGGCACTGTTTGAAATGAAGTAGCTCAAAGGAAACATGAGATGAGCACACTTAGAGACATCTTTACTCCAAATGATCATATGGACCATTCATGCCCAGCCTGTGGTACAGCCTTCCAAGCTCGTATTTGTCTGATCAGCCACAATCCAATACACTGTACCTTGATCCCAACACAGTGATACCACTTTGGCCCTCTTTGAGAACTAAGGACAACAACCATCCTGAATACATCTTGTTTGTACGTAGTTGTCTGCACATGGTCTTCCCCTTTAGACTCTGAAGTTCCTTCAGGGAAAAGACAAGTTTTTGCCTTTCTTTGTATCTCTAATACTTAGCCCAGTACCTGGCACACAGTGGGTAATTCATAAAATATTTGAATTGTTCACAAGTTGACTTGACTTGGTTCTATGTATAGTAAGCAGAGTAAAAAGGAAACAAAACCAAAATATCCTGTTAAAAATAACAAGCCATGTTTCTATAGTGCTTTAAGGCTTATAAAGTCTTTTCCTCTTAAGAACTTATGAGACAGAAATGAGTCAACGGGGATTGAGAAAAGTCAAGTGACTTTCAAGGTCAAGCATAAAAAGTGAGCCTTGACCGCAGTTCTCCTAAGTCCAAGTCCAATATTCTATCCACTTTTCCCATTTGTTAATAGAGTTTCCCTTCAAATACAAAGCCAAAGGCTGGAGCTTACTGCTGTTTCCAAATGGTACTTACCTTAATTAGGATGTCTGCAACAGTTTTATATGGCTTGAGGTCAGAGTAGAGAGTGACAATACGGAATTTCACCTCTTGTTTTGGTTTGTAAAGGAACTTGTCTGTTTGAATGAAGACGGATAATCTCTTGGATTCAAAGTTCAAGGTGGTTTTATCAGAAAACAAAGTCTGATTCTGTGTATGTCCAGTGACATGTACTTCATAAAATTCATTTGCACTATTCAAGGGTAGCTGGAAAAAAAAAAGCAGGTCAGTGTTACAAGGTCAGACCAAATCCAGTACTCTTTTCAAACTCAAAGGTGCTTTTAATCATTTGAAAGAACAGAAAGTTAACTACAAACTTTGGTCTAATTATGAGACATACTCTAAAATGAAATTACCTTAAAAGGAAAAAGCAAACAAGTTATATGTGATAGATACATAGTTTCATATGCAATCCCATTTTCTCTCCCTTGTGCATAGAAAATATTCGTGTTTGTTGATGATTTTTTCATCATGACAAAAAATTATAATTTTTAAAAGAAAGGGAAAATATGTGTATGTATGCCAAAAAATGTCAATTATAATCTACACTTATTTTACATAAACCAGATTTGGGGAAGAAATACAATTTACGTTTGAACTTATATTGTAAATGTTTAACAGAGGTAATTTCAAGCTTTTAAAATTTTGTTCATCCAAGATAACTCAAAATTCCTAATAGCAATTGTTTATTTTCTCACTGACTCATTCTCATGTTTCCTCTTTTGTAGTCATCTCCCTCTTCAAATAACGGAGTTCCTAAACAAATGCATGAGAATTATCTCTAGCTTAAAGCAGCAGTCACTTTGTCATCTTCAATTTCAAGAGTTACTTTATCTTAACAAAAAACTGGTGATATTTGGTGTTCCAATTGATTTCCCCTTACCATGTCTTTTCTTGTTTGAAGAGTTCAACTACTCAGTGGCAGGCAGCCTTGCAGGGGATTTGATCTTGTGCCTATAAGAGGAGCCTATCTTTCATCTTCTCTTCTTCCTCCTTTGAAATGTATATTTTCCTTAGCAAAAGATAAGCTCTGCTGCTCCATGATTCCTGAACTGCATAAACTATTCAGTCATTTGTTAATTGACTAACATAATAATTAGGCTCAGCAGCACTGACTGAATTTCTATGCATTTTATCCCATTTCTGCTGTCAACTTAACCCCTTCAGGGCAGTCTCAAAATGAGACTTATGGCCAAACATGGGAGCACAGATGAGAATATGGAATAATGCCAGAAACTATCCCCATTAACAGGCAAATATCTCATGGTCTTGTCTTCTCAAGTAATATTTCAGTCCTCAGATGCCTTTAACCAAATTCATTAAAATTATTGCAGAAATATAATAACCATAGTAACATATTTATATATTCCAGCATCCAACATGCCATATAAAATTATATCATTTAATCCAATTTATAAATACTTATCTACTCAATTATTCTATATTTGGCTTGCTGATAAGGGCAAAAGGTAAAACAGAAAAAAAGCACCTCTCAAAATAGAACAAAAGAATATAAGATAACCATTTCTAAAGTAAATAAAAATTAGTAATGTGCTAAATTTACAATCAACTTTCTTTAAAATTCCTAACTGAAGAAAAATAAACCTGGATTTTCAAAGCTACTTGTTTTTTTCCAAAGGGAAAAAGAAAAAGAAAAAAAAGACAATATTCATCAGTGTGAAATAGCAGTACACTTTCATTTTTTGTGCTCCTTCTTAAAGCAAAGAGGACTCCAGCATATCAAAAATAGAAATAAACAGCAGAGTTGACAACAAGATATTTTTCTATAGCTCTATTTAATGGTATGCTTTCATTATTTCCATTTTATGCAAAATTATCATGATTGCCTATGTCAAGGAAAACATTATCAAAAATATTAGCATTTACAAGCCTCAAAGTGTAAAAATACCTTTGAAATTTGGTGCAATATTTCAAAATATAAAGGAATAGGGACTGGACTTGTGATTTCATTAGTATAGGGAACTCTCCAATGAAAAACTCCTGCAGAAGCAGGGCATCACCTTCCCTGTAACTTAGAGCCTTAAGAGAGTTGCCTAGAGAACTGTGAAGTGAAACATTGTTGCTCAGGCATTCGGTCCTGTCTGATACTTCGTGACCCCATGGATCATAGCACATCAGGCCCTTCTATCCTCCATTATCTCCTGAAGTCTATCCAACCCCATATTTGCTGCCTCCATGACTATCTGTCCATCTCATCCTCTGCCTTCCCCTTCTCCTTTTGCCTTCAATCTGTTCCAGCATCAGGATCTTTTCCAATGTCTTCTCATTATGTGGCCAAAGTAATTAAGCTTCAGCCTCAGTATTTGTCCTTCCAACAAGTGGCCTGAAATAATTTCTTTAGGTATTAACTTATTTGATCTCCTTACTGTCCAAGGAACTCTCAAAAGTCTTCTCCACCACCACGATTGAAAGCATCGATTCTGCAGCACTCAGCTTTCCTTATGATCCACCCAAATGTTACTACTAAAAAAAAAAACCACAGCTTTGACTATATGGCCCTTTGTCAGCAAAGTGAAGTCTCTGCTTTTTAGTATACTATCTAGGTTTACCATAGCTATTCATCCAAGGAACAAGCAGTCACCATCCGCAGTGATCTTTGAGCCCAAGAATATAAAATCTGATGCTGCTTCCTTTTCTTCTCCCTCTGTTTGCCAGGAAGTGATGGGACGAGTTCCCATGATCTTAGCTGGGTTTTTTTTTTAATATTAAGTTCAAGCTTCTACACTCTGCCTTGTTTTGGTGGAGGGGCTTCCATAGCTCAATAAAGCTATGAACTATGTCATGCAGGGTTACCAAAGATGGACAGGTCATAGGGGAGAGTTCAGATAAAAGGTGATCTACTGGAGAAGAAAATGGCAAACCATTCCAGCATCTTTGCCAAGAAAACTCCATGGAAGGTAGTAAAAAAAAATATGACATAAAGGTATGACATAGGAAGATTAGCCCCTCAGGTCAGAAGGTCTCCAACACATTACTGGGGAAGAGCAGAGGACAATTACAGGTAGCTCCAGAAAGAATGATGCGGCTGGGCCAAAGTTGAAAGGAAGCTTAGCTGTAGCTGTGTCTACAAAAGAAAAGTCCAATACTGCAAAGATCAATGTTGCATGGGAACCTGTAATCTCAAAAATGACAGAATGGTATCTGTTCAAATTCAAAGCAAACCAGTCAACATCAGAGTAATACAAGTCTATGCTCCAATCATTGATGCTGAAGAGGCCAAAGTTGCTCAATTACATGAAGACCCACAACATCTTCTAGATATAGCACCAAAAAAAAAAAAGATGTCACATTCATCATAGGGGATTAGAATATTGAAGTAGGTAATCAAAAGACAATTGGAATAACAAGCAAGTTTGACCTTGGAGTACAAAATGAAATGAGGCAGAGACTAACAGAGTTTTGTCAAGATGATTCACTGGTCAGGATGATCAGCCGTGAATGACTCAGCTATTCTCAGCAATACAATGATCCAAGACAATCTGAAGGACTTGTGATGAAAAATGCTATCCATCCCCAGAAAACTGTTGGCAACTGGATACAGATTGAAAGCATACTTTTCTTATTTTTCTTTATTTTTCTTGAGTTTTTTTTCTTGTCTATGTTTTCTTTCACAACATGACTATTATGAAAATATTTTGCATGACTACATACGTATAACCTATATGGAAGTGCTTGCCTTCTCAATGAGGGAAGGGAGTAGAGGGAGGAAGGGAGAGAATTTGGAACTCAAGGTTTTAAAAATGAATGTTAAAAATTGTTTTTACATGTAACTGCAGAAAAATACTAAATAAAAGCTTAAAAAAAAAGATAATTCACTGGTCATAGCAAACACTCTTTTTCAACAACACGAAAAGTAACTGACTATGCATGGACATCACCAAACTGTCAATATCAAATAAATGCTACCCACCTCCTAATAGAAAGGTGAAAGACTCAGAGTGTAGGAGTAACGTACATGCATACACACACACACACACACACACACACACACACACACACACACACACACGACCAATGTAGAAATGTATTTTGTTTGACTATAAATGTTTGCAACAGTATTTTTGTTTTTCTTTCAATCTCAATGGAGGGCAGGGGCAGCGAGGAGAAAAGGCAGATTTTGCCAATTGAAGAAAAAATTTCATTTAAAAAAAGAATTACTCTATTTTAAAAAGGTCTCCCATGATCTTAGAAATTTCCTTACAAAACAGTATATTCTGATGATGTTGCTCATCTTTCATTTTCAGAAAAGTCCAGTGACATCAAGAGTGAAATCTTGACTTGTGCATGAATTGGATTTTAGTGAAGCAGAGTTGCACAAAGTCATCAGCCTCACTCTCTCATCCGAAGTCATCAAAGCTCACTGGCAGGAAAGCAGTCAAGACGACTGGCGATGACCTAGGATGCGCTGGATGACCTTGGAATCTTCAGCACCTGATCAAGCTCTAACTGCTCCACAGAGCTTGTGTCAGCCTTTTTTGTGGCCACTGGAAACAATTATCCTCAATTGTCCCTTCTGCCAGAAGTCTTCACATGCTTGGAGTAGACATCCTCTAACTCACCAACAGATTTGAGACCCATTGGTTTTCCCTCAGCCTGGTTTACACTGTCTGCTGAGATGGTTTTACCAGGGTGTGGCCACTGATGATAACACTAGTCACAGAGAAAATACATTAGCCCACAGGAACAAACCCTACCTTCAGCAGCTCCTGTGACCCCCAATGTCTGTATATTTTCCCCCTTCCTTCTGCCATAGAATGTCACTGATTAGCTATATGCCTAGACTACTACACTATTTAAAACCCCAAGTTCCTCCATCCTGGTGGAACTCTCCTTGGAGATTTCCCTAGAGCTAATAAACTCTTTTCTCCTCAGTTGATCCGTTATTTTTGTGATGCTCTGACCCACAGTCTTGCTCTCTACTTGAGATCTTTCTCAGACCTGCTGAAGTCTAAGGTTGGGGGCTGAAACTCCCACAACAAGATCAAAAGATAACGTGTTAAAGCATTTTGGAAACCTTAGTAAATTTCAATTATGGTTATAGCCCTTCACTTTATAATAATCAAATGCATTATGGCTTATTGGTGTCTTAGCCTCTTTTAGATTTTAAGTCCCAGGAGGTCAGAGACTAGGGCTTATCTAATCTTCATATCTCCCTCAAGCTTCTATCTCAGGGCTCTGTACACAAAAGATATGTTTTTTAATGTTTATTGCTGCTATAGCCCTATGGCACTCTAACATTTGCAAATCACTTTCCTCCTACAAACCTAGGAGGTATTATTATTATTACTGAGATTTTCCAGGGAGGAAACTGGGGCTTAGAGAAGGTAAATAAATTGCTAACTAGAAGAAAATAACATAGCTAGTGGTGTCAGAGGTAGGGAGATATTATTATCCCCAATTTATAGCTGGGAAAATTGAAATAGTATGTGACTCACTCAAAGTTACTAGCTAGCTTACAGAACAGCCTGGACTAAAGCTCACATATATAAGTTCCAAACCTAGTGTTCTTTCCACTGGGCCATAGTGACTATTGACTAAGTTTTCTTGTTGTAAATATGCCATAAAACACTAATCAAGTAGGAGGTTGAGCAAGACACTCATTTTCTGGAACACTATGTTTCCCTCAGGCTAAGGAAGGGATATCTCTGCTATGACAATGGAAATTTTAAGCCAGTGTCCCCAGGGAAATGTGCTTTATAAGTTATTTGAATTCTGTATAATATAAAAACCATGCTGAAAATAAGCTAATTTAATAAAAAAGACAAAAAAAATTACATTTTCTCATTATAACCTTTTGGAATAGAACACAGAATGTATACTTACTGCTGGAAGAATAAGAGTCCCCAGTGAACCTAGGTGGGAAACAAGAAGAAGAAGAATCAACCTGAAAAACTTGTTAAATAAACATTTATTTTTCTCAATAATGCTCTCTTATTTTTGTTTTTAATTACAAACTTTTTGGCTTATAATTTGGTTAATCAAAACCAAATCAAACCAAATTCATTTGGTTAAGTCCCAGATTACCTATGCCTAAATCCCAAAATAAGTTAGGCCAGTCTCAAATAAATAAATAAAAACTGCTCTGCTTCTAAAAATACTCATATAGATATAGATATAGATATAGATATAGATATAGATATAGATATAGATATAGATATAGATATAGATATAGATATAGATATAGATATAGATATAGATAGATTTATTTATTTATTTAAAGCAGCCCTTCTTATAGCAACAAAGAATTGGAAACTGATAGGGTGCCATCAATCAGAGGACGACCGAATAAGTTATGATATATGAATGTGATGAAAACATAAGAAATGATGAATGAGTAATCTCAGAGAAATCTGGGAAGACTTATATGAACTGATATAAAGTGAAGTGAGCAGAACTAGGAGAACAAGTTATACAATAATAACAATATTGGAAAGACGAAAAGCTCTGAAAGACTTAGGAACCCTATTCAACACAATGACCAACCATAATTCCAGAGTGCTTATGATTAAACACACTTCCCACCTACTGAGAAAAAGGTGATGGATCCAAAGTACATGGGGAGACTTTTTTTGATAGGTCCAGTGTGAGATTCTGTTTTCCTTTAATATGCCTTACATATTTGTAAAGGGGGGGTTGTTTTTCTTTCCTTCTCAATGGGGAGAGGGAGAAGTATGGATTGGAGAAAGAAAAGATCAATTTTCATTAATTGAAAAATAACTATTTTTTTAAAAGCTTTGCCTCTCTCTTTTCTATTTCCTTTCAGTTGGTTTTCCATGGAAATTTATTTTTAAGGGGAGCACACATAGGGAAACTTCAGTACACCTGCTAGATCTTTTTATCCTATTGAGAAGAAATGGAAAACAGTAGTCTTGACAGGCTGAAATCCTAGAAATCCAAAAGAAGATCCTTCATACTGTTCCACTAACAAAATCCTGCCCATTAGCTTCCTCCTTTCCCATTCATTTGCATATTCCCATAGGCTACATCTCAACCTCCAATTTACCTCATCCCAATCATCCCTAGCCTTCAGAACAATCTCATCTTCACAGGTGTTCCAGATTCTACTTTTTTCTATACCCTCTTTCCAATGAAGGCCATTCCATCTACTATGCCTTACAGCCCATTAGGAAAAGATGGTAAGTCTATTCCTTCTTGGTACCACTTCCAGGCCATGGTTCCACCATTATCACTCAATGCCACCTACTTATCACACCCTTCCTATATTCTCTTCACTATGATATACTGAACACATACATCAATGTGTACAGGACACATTTCTGCTTCCATTGATAACTTCAACACCTGCTTCAGTTTCTCTTTACCCTTCACCTCCCAAGTGACTTCAAAATCCAAGCTGATGCCCTAAGTGGCACTGGACTGGTTTCTTGGCCTCCTGAACTCCAATGGCCTTCATCTTCAATCTACTTTAATCATACTTTGAATATGCACAGATATACCTTGAACTTTTTTTATCACTTCGAACTACTTCACCTCCAAGATCTCAAATTTAGATCTCTCCTTTTTTGATGACAGATTCTTTATGAAGTCTCTCTCTGTACAATCAGTGTGGCAGCTTAATATAGGCTCATATTTAAGTCTGGGAATTGGTCTTAGGTTCATTTTTGATCTTCATTTCTTTCTGTGGCCCGTCTTTTATAGCTAACACTCAGAATGCAACAAAATCAGCTTATCCTTATTTGGAGACTATCCATCATAAAAGAATAGCCTGCAAAGGAATAAAATTTAAATACAGCTACAAAATTGAAAAAGTAGTTATGACAATTGGCCAGGGAATGATGATGGAGGGGAGAAAGAGTGGAGAAGGGATAACTTCACCATCTCCCAAAGCATGGCAGGCAGGTAAATTCAGGAAAACAGCAAATCCTTTGCAGGCAATTAACTCCTTAAATGGGTCAGTGAGCCAAAGAAGGCTTCAATTGCTCAATAGCATATTAAGTTCCAGGTAGCCGCACCCTTCCTTGCCATCAGCTGGCTACTGGTGCATGTCATCTGAGAGCAAAGGTTCCTGGTCTGCCCTTATCCCCTGAGTAACAACAAAAAAACTTTCCTTCATCTTGCTACACGTAATGAGACATTAAATGAAAGAAATTAAAGAAAAGAAATAAGACAATAAAGGAAAGTAAATGATTGGTTAGTGTATTTTAAAGGGACATGCGTCCTACTTAACATCAAAGGACAAGTAATGCAGCTAAAGTCAATGAGATGTAGAAGAAAGAAGAAAACAAGAAAACATAAAGATAATAGATTCATCAGCAACTTGCTCTCCAAAGTCTATGCTTGCTGTAATTCATAATTAGAAAAATTCATAATTAATTCATAATTAGAAAAATAAAGTCACCTTGACATCCCTCTCTTATTCTCTTCAAATTGCCAACTGGATATGTCCTACAGACACGTCAGACTTAACATCTCCAAAACTGAATTCATCATCTTCTCCCTAAAACTTGCTCTTCCTTCTGATTTCACTAGGTTGCCACAAATTCAACTAGTCACCCACGTTTGAAACCTTGATGTTTTTCTTGATTCTTCCTCTTTCTTCACATCCCACCTCCAATCAGGTGCCAAAGTCTGTCAGATCTACCTTTCCTATATCTCTCATAGCGAGTCCCTCTTCTCTGTTTCCACTGATACCACACTAACGCAAGCCCCTCATTACCAGACACTTGGACTACTGAAATAGCCTTCTAACCCACTTTCCCACCTCCAGTCTCTGCCCTCCTTCAATCCACATTCCACAATAATGCCATATAATTTTCCTTGTGCATAGATGTGATGCTCAAAACCCTTCACAGGTTTCCTGTTGACTACTGACTAAATTTCAAATTTCTTAACCCACCACTTAAGACCCCTCATGATCAGAAGCAACTCTACCTTGTCTCACAATAACCTTTTTTTATATTCAGCATCCTAACTAAACTGGATTTCTCACTGTCCCCTATGCACATCCCACACTTTCCTACCTCTTGGTCTTTGCTTATGTCATTCTTTATACTCTGTGCTCACCTTCCAATCTACATCTATTGAAACCTTATCTATCCTTGGAGATCCAGCTCAAATTCTACTTCTTCCATAAAGCTTTCCCTGATTCCACCCTCCTCCATGAAAATTATCATTCCCTAAATAATATTTTGTACCTTCCTATTGCATTCATCATGTTCCTGTTGCCACAAAATTTACGCCCCAACAGAACTTAACACTTTACATATAATAAACACTCAATTCAACAAATACTTATGAAGCACTTACAATGTACAAGAAAATTAATAAATCAATGGATGGCTACTTCCTGCTTTACTTAATTAGGCAGCAATAGATCATAAGCTTCATGGGTTTTCATTTTTATACTTTCCTCAGTGTCCAGAAACACACTACTTTCCACAGAATATGTACTTAATAAAGGTTTGTCAAAATAAAAGCATCAAGCAACCCCCTCCAAAAAATTTCCTTGAAAATGTCCCACGAAGTCAGGATGAAAAATGATATCCACAACTAGAAAAAGAACAAATGGAGTCCGAATGCAGATCAAAGAACGCTATTTTTCACTTTTTTCATGTTTTTCATTGTTTTTTTTATTTTTTGGTCTGTCTTCTTTCATAATATGACTAATATGGAAATACGTTTTGCACGATCACATATGTATAATCTATATCAAATTGCTTACCATCTCAGGGAGGGAGGCGGAGGTGAGAGAGGGAGAGAATTTGGAACTCAACATTTTTAAAAATTAATGTTAAAATTGTCTTTACATGTAATTGTAGAAAAAAATAATTTTTTTTCTTTTTAAGGTTTTTTTATTAATTTATTTTTAGTTTTCAACATTCACCTCCATAAGCTTTTGAGTTTTAAATTTTCCCCCTCCTTCACCATCTCCCTTCCCAAAATGGCATGCAATCTCATATATGGTCTACCTATACATTCCTATTAAACATATTTTCACATTAGTCATGTGATAAAGAAGAATTAGAACCAATTGGAAGAACCACAAGAAAGAAGAAACAAAACAAAACAAGAAAAAAAAAGAGCAAATAGCATGTTTCAATCTGCATTCAAACGCCATAGTTCTTTGTCTGGATGTGGATAGCATTTTCCATCATGAGACTTTTGGAGATGTCTTACATCTTTGCATTTCTGAGAAGAGCTAAGTCTATCAAAGTTAGTCACTGCACAATGTGGCTGTTACTATGTACAATGTTCTCCTGGTTCTGTTAACTTCACTCAGCATCAGTCCATACAAGTCTTTCTGGGTTTTTCTGAAGTTCGTTTGCTCAGAATAAAATATCATTTATTAAGAATGCCCCATGAAAATGTCCTCTCAAAAAACCTTCCTACTTTAAAGTCTCAAGAGCTTAAGGAAGTGTTGATTTGTTATATATAAGGCAAATTGTATTTTTAATATAATCTTTGAATGATTTTGTACAATATTACATAGTGCTACATCATACTAAATACAATTTTATTTGATTATTTACTGTGTTGCTCTGATGAATCAATACATATATTTCTCAAAATGTCTCTCCCACTAGAATGTGAGCTCCTTGATGGCAGGATCCATGTTTTTACTCTTTTTTGTTTCTAGAGCTTGGCATTGTGCCTGGCACACAGCAAGCACTTAATAAATGCTTATTGACCAATTTGTGATCATTTTTTGCAAATAAAAAAATAAACATAGCCCCTCATCATGCCAATAGGAAAAACAGATTTAACTGATTGGACTGCAACTCATAGGAATGTAAGCTACCATACTGTAGTTAACTGTGTAAATACTTTATCATAAGTTCCCTGAGGTCATTAATCATCTTTTAGTCATCTGGTTATCCTCCACGTTATCTAT